GATGCAAAAGAGGCAGGAAGCACGCAATTTCGACAGAGGATGTCAAAGGAGACTCTCCTAGACCAATTCCAATCATTTCCAGCGATTTTAATTTTTTTCACTTTTGGCCAAATTTACAAAGGCTATAGCCTTTGTGTTTTTAGCGAAAATTAATGGGTCCGGATTTTGACGAAAAAGTAGTCGAATCGACAGGGGTGAACCAGGGGACCACAAAACTACTTCTGGTTCCGTCAGAAACCACCCCTGTCCACAGAAATTTGGGGTTTAAGGGGTGGTCTTTTGAATCTGGCGCGCGAGCCCGTCCAAGAAAAACAGGCGTAACTCACTTAAAATTGCCCGGTGGCGTGAAATTTCGACAAAGAGATTGAAAGAGGATGCTGTCGTACTAATCCCAAACATTTCCAGCGATTTTTATTTTTTTCATTTTTGGCCAAATTTACAAAGGCTATAGCCTTTGTGTTTTTAGCGAAAAGTGATGGGTCTGGATTTCGACGGAAAAGTAGTCAAATCGACAGAGGTGACCCAGGGGACCACAAAACTACCTTTAGTTCTGTTAGAAACCACCCATTTCCAGAGAAACTTGAGTTTTAAGGGTGGTCTTTCGAATCTGGCGGTCAGCGTACGATGGGCTGCCTACCTCGGAGGCGAACCGGTCCAAAAACAGGCGTATCTCACTTAAAATATGGCCCGGCGGTGTAAAACTTTGACGCAGAGATTGAAAAAGGATTCAGTCTGACCAACTATTTCCGGCGATTTTAATTTTTGTTATTTTCGGGCAAATTTACGAAGGCAAATAGCATTTATTCTTTTAGTGGAAATTAATGGGACCGGATTTAGACGGAAAAGTAGTCGAAGGGGACCACAAAAGTACTTTAGTTTCCGTCAGAAACCACCCCTGTCTACAGAAACTTGCGTTTTAGGGGTGGTCTAATCTGGCGGGCAGCCTAAGATGGGCTGCCTACCTCGCAGGCGAACCGGTCCAAGAAAAACAGGTGTAACTCACTTGAAATGGACCGGCGGCGTGAAACTTCGACGCAGAGATTGAAAGGACCAATCCCAACCATTTCCAGCGATTATCAAATTTTTCATTTTTGGCAAAATTCACAAAGGCATGGGTCTGGTTTTTGACGGAGGAGTACTCGAATAGATAGGGGTGAACCAGGGACCACAAAACTACCTTTGCTTCTGTCAGAAACCACTCCTGTTCACAGAAACTTGAGTTTTAAGAGCTGGTCTCTCTAACTATGGGCGGGTAGGCTACCTAAGGCGCACTGGCTAAGAACTCTGCTGTAGTGGGTCGGCACCATGATATTTAAACAGGGTAACTGAAAAGGGAGTTTGCCCGACCAATCCAAACCAATTCCAGCAATTTTCCAAATTGTCAAGATTTTTAAAAGACATTTTCAATGATAACAAATCAGCCTGGATTTTGACAGAGGAGGATTGAAATTGACAACAAAGAACCAAGGCACCACAAATAACATAATAAACCACCCTTTGATGCACACGAAAGGAAGCTCCTCAAAGAGTCTGTAC